TTTAATAAAATATTGATACTTAACTAAAAAATTTATATAACCGCTAAGTTTTATTTTTTGAACTTGGTGAATTAAAAAAAAAGAGATTCAAGAACAATTCTGATTAACTAATTTATAAAAGCATTTAAGATTGCAAGTGAACATTAAAAAGGTCAGAATCTAAATTAGGAATAAAAATTTAAATTCCATTGAATTTAGATTAGGAATCCTCATCTCTTAACAAAAGATAACTAGCGTTTTATAGTGAGAATAAAGAAAGGGTAAGAAATAGAAAATATAGAGAATGAATCAATGATAATTTGTCACATAAAACCATTGCCCCACAAGTTTTGGCTGCAAGATTTAGAATTTGGTTTATTGCTAACGAGTGTCCATAATACGATAACGTTATTAGTTATTCCGAAGAAGAAAACATTTAGGTTATTTGTGCACTATAATTAAACAAGCTAATAATGACTTAATTATTAGTTAATGAAGAATAAGAAATAGATATTACATCATTTTAGGGGTGCTGATGAATACCTCGTTCAATGGAAAAAGCTTGACACTTTTGTATTTAGGGGTGTAGAGTGGTCGCCGCACCGAATACTACATCATGATGACTTTGATCCTGTAAGGGGTCAAAAGGGTGGAGTTTATAGATTCAATTCAAGTGTCTACAAACTAAAGAGAAACAAGCAACCAATTATTTGTGTTCTCCTTTGTGCAATTTCCATACGAGATTATCATTGTCTTTTTCACTTTTCTTACTTTTCTGTGTTGAAATACGCACTATTGCAGCCTTCAGTGTTTACCTCCTAAACACTAGCATGTTGCCAACACAACATTCCATCTAAAGTAAAATTGGTTACAAGTTTGGGAATAACTTTATTACAAACAAAAAATGGTCCTTTTCTTTCGTATTATTTCTAATTTTTAGCATAACGTATATTTTATAAAAGAAATTTTAATTAATCAAAATATCATAATAAAATAACTCTATTTAATAAATTTTTTATTAAAATGTTACAATGTAATTGCAGAGTAATATAAAAAGTAATCTCTAAATTTATTAATTTAATATTTAAAATTATAAATATATCATTTTATTTCTTAAAATCATCAAATATTGGTCATTGTTGAAATGTCATGAGTTTATGTTTAATATTTTTCTTTTGAATTTTAATAATTATTATTTTAATGAGTTGTAACTTATTCATTATATGCATAAACTTAAAAAAAAAAGGTTAAAAATACACTTTTCTCTTATACATTAAATAATAGAAGATACACCAGTTTAATTTTCTCCTCTTATCACTTTTTTTTTTTTTTAATTTCTGTCGTAGCAGTCATTTTGGTTTTTATTTTTATATTTTTATTTTCGGTCAACACTTCTTATGGTTATAGTTTGAACGATGGACCGAAACAAAAGACACGCGTTATTGAAAGCTTTTGAGGAGAAAAAGAGTGCCTGTGCCCCAGTTTCAACGTTCCGCACTTTTCTTCGTTTTTTTTTTTTTTTTAAATGTTTTTCAGAATGGAATATGTTTTTTTTTTTTTCTTTTCTTCCTTTTCGTTTTTGAAGATGCATCTCATACAAACAAGTTCTAAGTAGTCCTGTCATAGGCAATTCCCTTCTGGATTTTGTTTTTAATTCAAATATATTTTATTCTTTGGCAGATCTCATCTATGTAATAATAAATGTGATTCTCTTGTTCGGGGATGAATTCAAAATAACAGAAAAAGAAATCTCATCTTTGTGAAACTTCCATTTTAATATTTTTTTTATAATTTTATCTTAATTATATTTTTAGTCTTTATACTTTAATATGTGTATAATTTTGTTCCTCTAATTTTAATAGTTCACATTTAACATTTTTAAATTAAGTCTTTCGCTCTAAAATTTAGACTTTTATTATATTTTACATATTTTATTGTGTCTTTTTATTTATATTTTTTTATTTATTCATATAACTTAATAAAATATCACATCTTAGTTATATTTTTATTGATTATTGAATAGAATTTTAAAATAAAAAACTTAATTTAAACATTTAAAATTAAAAAAATTAAATGTGAAAAATTAAAAAGATAAAAAAATTTATATCTATATTAAAATATAAGGATTGAAGTACGATTAAAACTTTAATTTTTGAACAAATATTAAATTCTACTCTGGATCCAGAAAGATCTGCTAATATTTTAATGATTATTATCAATCAAGAGGTGATATTAATTGACTTTTTTTTCACTTATAAAAAAAATTAACTTACTAGATTATGAGATCGCAACTTTCCTTAAAGATAAGGAAATGTGTTTTATGAAAGACACGAGGCTCTCTCATCTTCTCCTAGTTAGATACTTATAAACATTTTTGCTAATTTTAATAAAAAAATTATAAAATATATAAAATTAATAATAAAAGAATCATGAATGAAATACCAAAAGTTATATAAATAATAATAAAAATATTTAATTTCTCACAATTTAAATATGTGCAATGTAATAATTTCAAAATACTCTATTCAAACACAACTCCAAAATCCTCTTCTTCGTTCAATAATAAATAAGGTCACAAATAATGAAATTAAGACATTATATTAACATTTTATTAAAAAATCATTTACTTATAATTATTTATTTCATAAAAAATTAAACAAATTTGAAATTTGGTGATTTTTATTTTGGAAAAGGGAAGAAACATGTCGGCCAGAGGCACATGAATCTTTTGAATGATGATGGATTATTAATTGGAGTGTTGACCTTGCAGGAAGAGTTCATTTTGTGATGTATCATAATTCACAAATTCAGGTACCAAAGCAAACCATGTAATGCGCCCTCCACTCCAGCTGTAATTAGGTTCCATGCACAAAATAGTCCTTTATTTTAATGATTTTATTAATTATCGTCTTAAATATTTTTCTTCAACATATTAAATATATTTTATTAACTTAAAAATGTACAAGTTAAATAAATTTTATTTTCAATATATTCAATTTTTTTTTATAAAAAGAGTTAGAAAAATAGTATAAATATTTTACACCATGATCTTGTTATTGGAGAGAATCTAAATCCTTTATTAAATAGTTATTTCTTAGTTATATCTTAATTTTTCAGTTCCTTTTCATAAGCAATTGAGTTTAATTATAATGCAGCTATTAATGTAAAAATACTGTTTTATTAATATAATTATTTATAATTAAATAATTGTCTAAAAAAATCATGCTATCAGTGTATTATTGTTAAATTTAAATTATATTTTAGTATATTTATGACGAATTAACATTTTTTCACATATATTGTTAATCTCATTTATAATTAAAGCTTACGTTTATATAAAAAAAATCATAATAAAAAATGGAATAAAATATATCTCGTGAATTCATTAAAATAATAAAATATATTCTTTAAAAATATTAAAGTATATTCTTAAGTACTATAGTTGTATAAATATAATTGATAAATTTATTTTCAGTTGAATTAAATTAATTTGTAAAACTAAATCTTAAATCTTTTATAATTTAATAATAAGAAGAAGAAAATTTATTTTATTTTTAGAATGCTCATTAAATTAAAGTAGTTCATGAACATTCATCATAGCATTCACACACATAGGTGCATTATAATAGTTTCTCTTTCAAGAAAGTACTTTTAATATTATTTATTTTCTAATCAAAATTAAAAAAAAATCAATACTAACCTTTAATATTAATATTTTATTACACTAGTTTACTCAAATAAAAATATAATTTAATTAAATATAAAACATATTTAAACCATTGTTCTTAAATTTTAATTTTTTTAATCAAATTCTTAATGTATATCTATACGTAAATGCTATTAGATATTAATTCTAATTTATTATATATTTTTAATTATAAAATATAATCATTATAAATTTTTATATTTTTAATACTATAAATTATTTGCATTGATAAAAGTTTTGTATTTAAATTTTTAAAATGTATTCATACATATGTATAAAAAAATTTATAGGAATAACCATTATTTTATTACATATTCGTTTCTTTTTAAAAAAAATTTAAAAAATCATTTATATGTATTCTTAAAATTTTAAATTAGTATTATTTTTAATTATATATTTTTAGGTTTTGTTAACTTCATTCTTTAAGGTAAAGTGTTTATAAATAGATTTTTTTATTTAAATTATAAATATTTATTACATTAAAGTTATATATTATAATAAATATTATTTTTAATAAATTTTACTATTATTAATCGTTTATCATAAATCTTAAAGAGTTAAAGTTAATATTTAAAAAAAATATTTAACTTTTATGATTATATATTTAACCTAAATTAAGTAATACAAAATTAAAAAATTAAAATTATTAAAAATATCCAAGGTAACAAAGGAAAAAACACCCCAATATAAATATGTCTTGTTTATTATTATTTTCGCAAGGTCCACTTTTTGGATTTATGTCTAGGAGAAATAATGTTTGTAGAATAAATACTTATAATTTAGAGAGTTATAAGAAAAAAGAGAAAGAAAAAATAAAATGAGTAATATAATGAAAAGTTATAGAAAAAAATTGGATGTATGAACAGTATAACTGCTTGTATAAAAGAAGAGAATGCAAAATACTCTTTTTAGTGCATAGAAAAATAGATTAAAAATATAGTCCACATCCGGGTATTCTTTTCATGATATTTGAAAATGTTGTATACTAAAATATAAATTTTAAAAAAATATATAAAAATATAAAAACTTGAAAATTGTCATTAATAATATTTAAATAAAATTAGTTAATTTAATAAATTTAACTATATATATATATATATATATATACATATATATTATTTTATTTTATTTTTAGGGTTTAACTCAGACACTGTTCGCAATTGAACTTAATCGTCAGAAAATATTCGTTGTTATAATAATAATTACTATATAATTAATTTAGAGAAATGGAATAGAACCATAGAAACGTTTCCACAAAAGACAAAAATGTAATTAATTAAGGAAGTTGAAATTAAATAAAGGGAAAGGGTAGTAGCTAGCGAGGAATGGTGAGAAAATCTGAATTTGAATGGTTCAATAGAAGCTGATCTTGAGTCCTAGCCTTCTTGGACAATGGCTCTGGTGAAGATTGAACCGATGCACCTAACTCCCAAGACTCGTTCGTACTATCACAGCTAAATGACCCATCCATTACACCATTTGGGCTCCAAGGAACCGACCCTAACTTGCGTTTGCCAAACTTGAATGTTTTACCCTTGTCATCGTACCCTGACACAATCTCCAACACCAGCTTATAGCACTCTTCCACCTTGTCCTGCATCGTATCCATTCCAGATTTAATTATTAATACTGCTACTCTTCTTATGTCTTTGACCATCTAAAGTTGTAAACAACCCCACTTTTAAATATCAATAATATTTTTAAGACCTGTATATATAATAGTTTAAATGATAAATTTGTAATAATATACCATGAGTTAATTACACGAGATACAAATTCAATACATTAATTTAAGAAAATGTCAACAACCTTGTGGATTCCAAGAATACCCAAGAGCTGATTTTGGTATTCAACTCCTAGACGAGGTTCCACAATGTTGACGACGTGCATCATTGTAGCAGTTGCCAACACAGAAGGAAGATAACTCATAAATCTGGAATCTGCAATGTCGGGTAACGGATCAGATAATGATAATAACAATTTCATTAGCTTCCACTTACAATTTTATTAAACTTTTATTTTTAATATGATAACCACTCCTTTAATAAAAATTTATCAATTTTAAATGTGTAAATCAGGCTAAAATAATTAAAATTACAATACTATAGTAGTAATAATAATAATAATAATAATAATAATAAATGAGTAGATGAGTGAGCAACAAAACAAGCAAGGAAGCATGGGGAGAGAGATGAGATCTGCTAAGTAATTACCTGAAAAGACAGAGAGAAGAACAGCTTCACACCTCTTGAGGAATTCACAGCAAAGATAACCCTTTAACCCAAGTCTCCTTGTGATATAATCAAGAAAGGAGAGAGGTGTTACCGGATTCATCTTCCATCCAAGAGTTGAAAGCACCAAGATTTCCATTCTCTTAACTGTTTTTGCTTCAAACAGGTATCTACTCTCCTCCACCTTCACATCACATCACAGTTTAGAGAAGAATGATCATATCAATACACAACATAAATAAATAACCTATGATCAAACTCCATATTTTCAAGGGACATACTTGAAGGTCTATACAGAGGGGCACATGGGTCTCTTCAACCTTAGCAGCTAGAGAGAGACAAGCCACAGCAGCTAGGTGTGTGAGCCAAGGTTTCTCATTCTGAAAGCTGAAGCTGAAAAGGAACCTATCGAAGTAGTTGACAGAAAGAACTGTGGTGAGGGCAGAGAAGGAGTAATGGGCATTCACTTTTAGAATCCACTCTATGGCTTCTTTGCGAGCTAAAGCCAAACTTGGGTTGTTTTGGAGGCAGTTACATAGTTTGTTGTGGTGTTCTTTGGAGAGAAGAGATGCTAATTCTTCATGGTCCCAAAAGAGGTCGTGTTCTAACAAGACCACAGGGGAGGAGTTTGTTGTTGTCGTGTAGTAATCATCTTCTACAACTTGTTCTTCTTCCCAATGATCTTCTAAGCAGAAGAGAGAATCTTGAAGGGGTTTTGAGTGGTGATGTGCCATCTTTGTTCTAACTAGAAGAGAAATAGTTGAAGTGGCATAGATCTTTGTTCATTGTAGTGTAGAGAGAACCAAAATTATGAGATGATTCAATGGATTGATTGGGAGAGAATAGAATAGAATAGAATAGAAGAAGGGAAAGGAGGTACTAAGCAGTGACTAGTAAGTGAGCAGTGACAATAATAAACCCAAAGGTGATGTTTTTTATCGATTGATGGGCGTTTCCAAACCAGAGCGTTTTGGGGGAAAATTTATTTAGTGCTAAATAGAATATAAATACATATGATAATTAGATGAAAAATTATTAATTTTAATTTTTAAGATTGAATTTAAATATTTTAAAATAATAAATCTTATTAAAAATATTTTATAATTTTCATAAAATAACTAATTTTTAATGAAAAGTATTGTTTTTAAATTTTAAATTCAGTATTAAAAAATCAAAGTAATAAAACTTTAATTCAATAACTATTCTTATGGTTTTAATTTTATTATACTTTATTTTTTCTATTTTTCTTTTTATAAGAAAATATTATTTTATTTATTGAATAATATTAATTATTATATTTAGATAATAATGTAATTGTTATTTTTAAATTTTTTATAAACATAAAAATAATGATGACGGTTAATTATAACGTCAAATTTCACTTTAATTTTTTTTATTTTTATGGACTAAAATTATAAAAAAAATAATTAACTTGATAGTTTTCTCTAGCCATTAAAATAAATTTAGATCTTAGAAGGAGTTGTGCGTCTATCAGTTTTCTTATTAAGATAAAGATAGATGTAATTTATTTTATTAATTTGATATATTCACGCCAAAGTAATTATATAATACAGATATTTTATTACTTGAATTTCATTATTTTAACTTTATTTAAATTTAATGATTAATTGATTTACTTGATACTACTTAGGTCTTTCAAATATTAAATATGTAAAAATAATCTTGTTTAGATGTTATGTTATTTTAATGCCTCATTTGATCTAAAGATGTTAAAAAAAATTGTGAAGACAAATTTTAAATCATTAAAAGAGTAATTTAGTATTTTTTTTATAAAAAAAAGAAATATTTTCTATTATATTTATTAAAATATGTACTATTTTAAATAACAAAAACTTTCTTGATAGTATTATTAATCAATTTAAAATGATTAGTAATATAAAAAATAATTAAAGATTTTATAAAATGTATTCACTGCATCAAGTACAAAATCCAATTACTACTTCTTTTACGATGTGCTATAATGTAATACTTTTCGTTATCATAATTTACCTTATTAAGTCATAAGCTCTAGTGCAACAATGCTTAGTCTTCTCTACAGGAGTTAGGTAGTGGGATTTTAATATTATGAACCAAACCATAATCTTTAGAGGAGATATTATCTACACTATAAGCACTTTTGTTGATATTCCTTTCTTATGTATTGTGCAATAATTTTTTGATGGATGATGAATTATGATAATATTATAGTATTATGTGTATATGAGCTCGAGGATGCTATTTAGACTTAGTCGTTTTTTCTTTTGATGTATTATAACAAAATAATTAAAAGAAAACTAGGATGGTATTATAGTATATTGTGCACTCTGATATATTTGAGACTACTTTCAATTTTATGTGGTTAGTATTATTTGTATCATCCATGAGTTATTAGATTATTATAGTCTTACATGTGATTTACACTTACATCTATAAGATGTCACATTAATTTTATTTACTTAAGTATGTTATTAGTTTGTTTGATAGACAATTGACTGGACCTATTATTGATGTAAATAAGAAAGTCTCAATATAGGTTGTAAATTGCATGTGACGTGATTTTTTATGCTATGTTAATATGGTTATACACTTTTGCATGTGTTATGCCATTTGAATTTGGAAATTTTTTTTCTAATATGCATATTTGATTCAAAATTTGTGTGTATAGGCTACAAATGGCATTTGGTTCAAATGTCAATATAAATAATCCTTGAAGATTGGATATGAGGACTAACAAGGTTTGTCTGAAGAAACTAAAGGTAGTTTGATTACCCTTTATATAGAAATGGTTAGCCCTGAGACAAATATAAGTTTTGAAATATTTATTTATTACTATATTTGAGGTTAATTTTATTGTCTTGATTTATTTAGTTATATCATATTTTAGAAATATCGTCGCTTTTTTCATATCATTCTCTTATTCGATTCTGAGTATAATCTTATTGTATAACCCAATTGGTATTGGAATTAGAGTTAATATTATGAAAGTCGAAACAAAACTTTTCCTTAGTCAAGGATGATAAATTTTTGGTTTGAATGATGGAGGTTGTGGTTGAATTTTTTTTAATGAAGGAGAACATTTGTTTCATGTTAGAATGTATGATACGTTACTTAATATAATTAAATATATAGAGTGTACAAAATTTGTAAGAGAATTTACTAATAAAATGTTGCTTGACGATGATGAAAAAGATAACAAGTTCCATTTCTGCCTTGAAAAAATTCTTTCTATATTTTAGCGCAAAAACTTTTTAGTAAGTTAATGATCTTATATTTTATATGTATTATATATTATATTCTCTTATTTAATGGATAAATGATCATAAAATTTTTATTATTGTGAAAGTTTTGCCTAGTCAATTTTGTGCTTAAGGTTGACCTCATAAATCCAGAAAATGTTCACTTCAATATGATGAAAGAGGTTTATTTGAAAGTTAAAGTGTATTGAACTAGAAGACAAAGACATTATGCATAACTGAAGTTTGAATGCGTCAATGCTAGAGATGTATTCAATTTTAACATGAAAGCCAATAAAAAATAATTATTCATATTCAAATTATATGTTAGATGTTATAGAATTTCCTACTTCTTAATGCATACTATTTGATTTGTTTGTTTTAATCTATGAATTTACATTAACTACAATACTAGTTTTCTTAAATGAAGCAGATATTAAGAATTACTAAGAGATTGATCCTGATAAATTTTTTTAAAAAATACGTTAGTATTTAAGTATGTGATGTTATGATATATAATTTATTTTATATTTGTGTGAAAAATATATTATTATATTATTTAATAATTTAAAATATCATATATAGTTATTGATATACGATTTTAATAAACTCTTAGAAGTGCACCCTTATGTGATTTTACTGAAAAGGAAATACATTCATATCATATGTAAATATAGATTAATGGTAGCACTAGTAATTGAAAGATAACTCACTTCAAAATCATTCAAAATCAATTTGCTACAGATTGTAACGCAACACAAGAACTCAAAGACAACTCAATTCTTCTTTTCGTACGATAAAGAGATGTCTCTTACAATAATGTTGCAACAGAGCAGCTGCAGAAGCAGGACGAAGAGAGGGATATAGATCATGCTTTTGGGTTACTCAGAAATTCCCTCTTAGCTATGACATGCAATAAAACAAACTTCTTATACGAGTGGCTGAGTGAAAAAAAAAGTACCCAGCTTGTATGCTGATTGCTGTGTTCATATGGTATTAGCATTTTGATTTTTTTATGTATATACATACAACATTTTTGTGCATTAAAATGGATAAGAATACGATAGATTCTTGTATCTCCCACGGAGGAGAAATACACTTAATACAGGTTACAGGTTGCACATGAAGTACATATGCACTTAAAAGTTTATTTTTATTAAACTAGACCAGAAAGCAAGTTAAATCAATATCATATTAGTAAGTTATACATTTAAACAATTCACTTCATATCATAAAATATTATTTATATTCGTTGTATTAGATTTTAGCAAAATTAAATTTTTAAAAAATTAAAAATCAAAGATAAAGAAATTAATGCATTTAAAAGTATTTTAAAAATAATAATTATATATTCACACTCATGTTATCTCACATTCGTTTTTCACCTATTTTTTTTTATCTCTTATTATATTCTCTATTTTTTCTCTCTCTTCCCTTCACTCCCCTTTAATTAAGTGTAAAAAAATTATAATAACCCTTTTAAAAATAAAAAATATTCATAATACATATTTTTAGATACATTTATATGATTATTTTATTTTTTGAATGATTTTTTTAATATACCCAACCCAACATATAATAAAAAATTATATACAGTAAGCTTTTAAAAAAAATTAAAGAATTCAATATATTGATAATATTAAATATTTTTAAAAAATTATTTATTTATTAATTTTTAATTATATATATTTATCATACATTTTAAAAAATTAAATAGTTTTCTTAATGTATACTCAATGCAAAATAATAAGTTTTTATTGAAATTTTTATGATACTATATAATATAATGTATTAATAATATTAAATATTATAATTTCAAAAAATTATTTTTTATTATATAACTAAAGTTATATGTTAAAAAATATTTTTTTAAAAGTCAAAATACTTGCTTATAACTTAATTATTGTAAGTTTAGAATTATGGTTAAAAGTAACTCATTGTTGAGAGCATTTAAAAATAAATAAAAATTGTGAGAATATATATATATATATATATATATATATATATACGGGATAGGATTCATTGATACCTGAGACTTATACTAAATCTCAACCGTACAAATCAAATAATTTAACGGTTAAAAAGTTATTTCTTTTTTTTTAACATACTTTTTAAATAACTTTTCAACCGTTAGATTATTTGATTTATACGATTAAAATTTGATGTAAGTCTTGACTTACACCTAATGCCAATGGGTCATATATATAAAAAGATTTTCTCACACTAATGTAAGTTTAAAAATTTTTACACTTAATATAAGCCTTTCATTTAACTTATATATAATGGTCAGTAAAGTAATAAATTATAATCTATTAGATGCAAGATAAGTAAAAGGCTTAGATTGAATTTAAAAATTTTTAGACTTGCCAATAAATAAATATATATATATAATTTTTTTATGGGAATTCTAAATTTAGTAAGTAGGTTTGTCTTTTGGCTAAATTAGTCAAACTTAAAAAGAAATATTAAATAACAAATTTCACATTAATAAATTCAGAAATAAACTTAAAACAAATAAATAATATATAAATAAGAGATCGAGTTAAACTTAGTTAATTTTTAATATGATATTAAATATATCTAAATTTAACGTTGGCTTTTTTATTTATTTTTGTTTTGGTCTCTTTTAAAATCGACAACCCTTCTTGTTTGAATTAGTTTTTGGATGAGAATTAGGTCCAATATATATCCAATGAGCATAAAAAAATTCCATACTTTTGTTCATAAATAAGGCTTGAACATAAAATTTTACCCGAGGAGATTTAAAAAAAAAACAATTAGAAATCACATTAAAATTCATGACAGGTGTGCTGTAATACCAATGCTAATTTTCTTTTTAATTTATCAATCAATGTCTTAAATAAAAAATTCAAAAAATAAATTACATATATGCAATAAATTTACAGAATTTGTTATATAATAAAGAGAAAAATAAGAAACAAGGAGAAAATAAAGTGTCACAAAATAGTTGATGTGATTGAAAATAAAAAATAATATTATATAAAAATATGTATGGAAAACATAACCTCTAAAAAAGTGTATAGAGTAGAGAGAAAATTCAGAATCAGAAGTGTGCATTAATCTGCTAAGTACTAACTGAGACAAACGCAGGAGGAGTAAATTTGCCGTGACGATAAGTTGCTTTCTCTTCTTTTCTTTTATTTTTCCTCTTTGTTTTCAATTCTTTTTGCATCTTTCGATTTTATAGGCTCAATCTCCAATAACGAAGTGGGGGCGAGGTGGGGAAATAAAGAGAACGAAATGCACAGTGTGAGAGCTGGCTATGTAGCTAACAAGTGCAAGAAGGTGAGACAAAGATCCATCAAGGCAATTGATGGTAGATATGGTGGTGGTTGTGACTTGTGAGAGACCTAGTCACTGCTCCTTTCATTCCTAATTGGAAAATTAATTTTCTCATTTTTAATAAATATTTTTTAATTATAATGAATTTTAACATATATTTTTATTACATTTAATCATTTATTATTAATTATATTAAAATTAATTTTATAAATCTTAAACAAATATACACTGATTTTCAGTCCAACTCCAAAGTAACAAACTACTTTTCTTACTGGTCTTACTCATACCAGACTCTAACACCTACCTAAGGTTGTTACCGTGGACTAATAAAATAAAGTGTTTGATCAGAAACGTGTTAGAAAAATTTATAAATATAATAATAAAATAAACATTAATTTATGTTAATTTAAAGATGAATCTAAACATTTTAAAAAGGGGTTGCCTCTATTTAGATATAATCAGAGTGACTTACAAAATCCAATATCCTTTTTTTTTCCTTCTTATAAAAAGATAATATTAATTTTATTTTTTCCTTTCTCTCAAAAGAGGTATCAAATTTTATAAAGACAAAAACAGCAACTCACACTTCAGAGTGGTCAAAGTCAGACAAGCCCCCCCTCAGAAGAATCAGAAAGTGGTTGATGATTTCCTTGCATTTTTATCACACGATGCAGGAAAAATAAATAAAAAATAAACAAAACCCTTTATTGGGACTCATGAACCCTTTGTGGTGCAGGTCGTACCCTGCAGTAGATAGCTGGCTACCCAACTAAAGAGTAATGGTGGAACTGCAATATCTTTGTCATAGTATCGTCTCTCGCTGCAATGCAACAGCACTGTTAATTGTACAGACAACATTGCTGTAAAATAAGCAACTCCAATTTTGTCTGCTGTTACTTTTTCTTACATTCTATACGTTAACTGTGAAAAAGTTTATGCACAAGTCTGTTATCTATTAATAGAAACACCAAGAAACTTTTTTGTAAATTTTTAAGGAAATATTGAGTAGTGTGAAAATAATTTAAATATGGAAAATGAAAATTTAAATGGTAGAAATATGATTTTTTTTTTTGTAAAATTACATAAATATGAAATCTATATAAATGCTAATAGCAATTTCAGAGACGAGATGTAAAAGTTGAGTTAGTTGTGATGAGATTTTGAAAAGTTGTTACTGAAAACCTTTAATCAAGGAATAGGAAAGATGAAGCAAGTTGAACTTTCGTTGATGCGATGATTTTTTTACCGAAAAATCACTATGATGTATATAATAGATTACACAAAGAAATCTTTTTATTGCTCAAAAAATCATTATTAACGACCTTTTGTTCAAAAATCTTTATAATTTTCACTATAGAAGGCATACTTGTGAGTTATATTTGTTTTATTATTCTTATTTTTTTATTTATCTTACGTCACTATTTGTATTATTTTTGTTTTAAGAGTTGTTGGTTATAATATAATGAAATGACAATGTAACATTCAAAATGTTACTTTTTAATATAATTAATGTTATTTTTATTGAAATTACTATGTTAATAATTAAAAAACAATAATTACTCTTAAGATAAAGATAAATGTACTAAAAATAAAATTAATAATTAAAAATGAAAATATATAATAGATGACACATCATAACAATTAAATATTAAAAATTAATTTACATAGTATAATGATATTATTTTTAACAATAATTTTTTTTTACTTAACAAAGAATGCATTATCATGGTATTATTATTTCACGTTATCTATTTTATTAAAAAAATGATTTGATTTGGAATAATCTTTTATTATACTTTTTAAGGCATGATTAAAACAAAGTTTTGGATTTTTATATTGTTGTCAAGTGCTTTCATTTCTAATCACTCCAAACTTCTTATAATTTTTGAATACTTCATTGATCATATAAACATAACGAACATAGACACATCGTATAATATTTTAATTACAACAAGCAACAATCATGTGATGACAAAAATATCTATTAGTATGCATAACAGTTACAGTTAATTTGTTTTTAATGAACTATATATTCTTACTTGTTAGTTAAATCTTAAATATGCAATGTTTCACTTTATCTATCAAATTGAATAACATGCAAGTTTTTAGCATCTTTCTCGTTGATTGAAGTTGAGTTGTCACTTATTCAGGGAAATATGTTCAATATTTTTTCATACATCTACTTCACTCCCTTTATGTGCAAATAATTGAGTCAATTGGAAGTAAATCATTCTTACAAGTGTTGTGATTTGAAGATTGCGAGCACCTTTTAACATTTAATGAATGCACTTAACAATATTTGTGGTCATATGATTCCACCTATGACCTCTGTCATATGCTATAACCATTTCTCTCTTATTTGCTCTTAATGAATGAAGTATGCTATAACTAATTTCATTATATATACATGACTATAACACATTTCATTAAGCCAAACTATATATACTTATCCATGTTCTTGTATTTGCTCTTAATGATTATTAAATAAGGCTTTTTTATTGACCAAAAAATAAACTTTTTCAACAGTCTTTTATTTTTTTCGTGCATACTTTTTGTTATGTTGTCATGTATCATACTAAGATTGAATTTCACTAATTACGAGTTTTATCTCAAAAGAAGAGTTAGACTCTATCATTGGCTTGTATTTTGTAATTGTGCTTGAATCTAATTTCTTATGATGTTGAAAAATCATTTCCCTTGTATAATTGTAAGGGCTGTTATACTTTCTTATCTCCTAAATATACTCATTATTTCTGAAAGTAACACAAAAAAGTCATTCACAATCGATTTCATACCTCAAACATTTATAATAGAATGTATTTTGTTCTTATTCAAACACTTTTTAGTTCACTCTTTTAATATATTATAACACTATTATTCGTATAATAGTTTCTCTATCATTGAATTGTTTTTCAACATATAATTTTTCATCTACATCACAATGACCTAACAAATGCAAGCATAAACATAAACTAATTAAAAACTATAATTTAATTTAACAACATGATTGAAAACAACACTTACCCAAACTTACATACTCTGAAAACTCATATGGATGTATACATCAAGATCTAACGCACACATAAAGGGTGACTTTTCAAACAGATGTTATCCAATCACTATGTTTGACAAATGAGGCTCATCATCTACATCTTCATCTCCATTATCTTCACCGCTTTCATATTCTCCTTTAAAGTTGTTGTCATTGCTTTCACTACTGTTATGTTCTTATTCTACCTCTCTATTTGGCACTTTGGCATAGTGCTTGCATATGCTTCTTCATCTTTATCTTGATAAACATTAACTACAACTACAACTTCTTTAAAAACAACATACAATTTAATGGCAAGAGTTGAAGATGATACTCTTGATATATTTAAAACATTTGTTAAACATCATCACCATTCATTGTTAGAATTTTATGATATTATATGAAATTGTCAAATATCGATATTGGACATTTATATATAATATTTTTTACTATTTTTGGAAACTCAATTTCAACATAATGAGTAGGTCAATACTTCAGTTCTACAAATGATACATTATCTTTCCTATACACAAATGTTAATTTTTTGTATTTGAATAACATACCTTTACAAGTGTTTGTAAGAATATTACTAATAAAGTATATCAATATTCACACTCATTTTTTTTAATGAATAAACTCAGCTTTTAAAAATATGTACATTCCTTTACTTGTAATTTGTTATGAATGAGAATGCAATATTTATAGACCCAATAATCAAAAGTCGCTAATAATAATTTTTTTAGAAAAAATATTAATGACTACATTTTAGTATATTGACAATTTTTATTATTATTTTAAACCTTCAAAAGTTGTTAATGGCTATTTTATTTACCAAAAATAATATTTTTAATGGTTTAATTTAAAAAATTATATTTTTAAAAATTAAAAATATCATTGGTAATTTTTAAATTAAATCATATTTCTGTAATTTTACCAAAAAAACATATTTTTATAATTTCAAAATAAAAATTATATAAAAAATTCATTAAGTAGTATCTTGGATTAAAAAACTAGAGTTATTTATAGGATAAATAATCTTTTTTAGATAAATTAATAAGGTTAAAATATTATATTCAAATTTTGATGTTTTTATAAATAAAATATTACTAGTTCATTCAAGATGAAATTATTTACTCTATAAAATAACTTGTACAAATTCTAAGCAGATAAAAATTGGAAAAAATTTATCATATAAAACTTTACAATCATTAAATATTCACTTAAAATAATAAAATATATATTTAATTATATGAAGCAACAATAAAGCGGCTACCATCAGCAAGTTGGTTTTTTATTGGTACTAACTGTTGTGAATATGTAATAAGTTAAATAGGCAAATGCCAAAATTATCTAGTCTTATCTTACTTGCATTGTCAGATTTGTTTATCTTAAATTTCTTTTCTTATCTAAATTATAAGTATCGATATTTTTATATATAAAAATTAAAAAGCATGTACATCATCATAAAATTAATTATTTTAACAAAAAATATTTAATCTTGAATATGATTGTTTGTCCTATATAATCCACTAAAAAAAGATTCACTAATTAAAGATAAAAAAAATAATCATACTCAATTAGATGAATAAATCAATGAAATGACATGAAGAAAAAGTGTAATTTGATGCATTTTATTACAAATATTATAAAATAATAATTTGCAGGTAAAATTAAGAAAACTATGTAAAAAATAATTTTTATGTAAGTGAATGACTGATGTTTCTTTTACCAAATAGGTAAAGTGGTGCAATTGCAAAGACCAGCTGACTCTTAAAAGAAGAATCCACCCATTAGCCAAACCGTACTAAACGAAATCTCATAATGGGAATATGAGTTGTGGAATAATGGCCCACAACGATCGTTCTTCAGTAGGGCCCAGTCTATGACCACTCAGATAGGGGCCCACAATACATAGTCAGAGGTTAATCATAATGTTTTTGCCATAATCATAAAATAACATAACAGTACATAATAGAGAACCACCCGTAGAATGTAATAATAGTTAGGGGTTGACTTTTCTCAACATCTCCTCATCAGTCATGACCGCATGCCTTTTACTTTTGTTGTCACTTTTCTCCCCCAGTTTTCACCGTTCTATAAGTTTTATAATAAGAAAAGAAAGAAAAGAGAATCAAAAGAAGAGTGCCCGAGTCAAGCCAATTTGATTCAATGCTTGAATAAAGAAAAAGATAGAATTTTTCCTTTTCAAAGCTAAAGTTAAAAATACAAAAACTAAAGTTATTTCGTTATTTAATTTAAGTTATTTTTATCTCTGTAATTTGAAATAAAGTGAGAGTAATATAATAAAATCTTAATACGAATAATTTAATTAGTATTAGATGTTTAATTTCTTTTAAGTTCTCAAATTTAAATCTTGTTAATACAAAAAATTGCCTTTATGAAAGCTAATCTCATCATCATATAAACATTCTCTATTCAAACATAACTATCATATGTAAAGAATACTTGTAATATAAATAACAAATAGAAATATAACCGACATGTGGTGTAGACCTAAAAAATAATAATACAATCTGATGGTATGAAAAAAAAAAATATTTTAGTTCAAGTGATAGATGTTTAATTTCTCTTACGTAAATCTTGACTTCAAACTTTATAAATGAAAAATAAATTGCTTAAAAAGCTAATCCACTATGTTATGATTGTGGATTTTTTTTAATTAAAATTTTTTAACTCCTATTAGGATACTCATGGTTAAGAAGAAAAGAATAATAAAATCAAATCAATTCATGTTTATTTTAAATTTATATTTTTAACAATTTTTTAATGTGTATTGTTATTTTTTAAAAAAAGCTTTTAATTCCTTAACCCCTATCCTAAGAGCACCAGTCCACATTTTCTTAGTGTTTTTAATAATTTAGATCCTTTCCAATAGTTATTTCTCTGTATTAAAAAATAAAATTCTAATAATTTATTTACGTTCAATGGATGCATATAAGTTAAGCCGCCAATGTAAATAAATTATTAACCTAATTTATGCATTAAATAATATAGTTTTGAGATTAGTCGATTTCAAATATGAGATTGATCATTAACAATAGGATTAGCCTATTTTTCAGCGAGCTTGGTTAATAGCACTTTGGGATTGATTGATTTTTGGCTCCTTGAATTGATCAATTATTGGATGAAGAGAGAACTAACGCAGAAAATCCAAATTGAATTGTTAAACGCACATAAATGTGTTAAAATTCAACATTTTAAAAAAATATTAAATAAAGTAATATTTTTAATTTAAGAATTTATAAAAACCTTAAATGTGTAAGTTATTTTATAACACCTACATTAAGAATGAAGAACAGATATAGGTGTATAAGGAAAAGAAACAAAACTAAACTTCAATATGCCAATTACTTGTGTACAAACATAGGTACTTAGAAAATTACCAAGTTTGGACGGATATATCACAAGTCTCCCTTAAAATAATAAACTTGAAATTTATAGTAAGATTACATAAAATTTATTCAACAATAAAAAAAAATTAAAAATATCTTTTAAAAAGTATATTATTATCCTTGTTGTACATAACATTTATCACCGAAATCAAATATTTTGAATGGTAAATAATAATACAATTGCTGAGAGTCACTGATCAGCATCATTAGTAATATTAACTAGCAAGAAAAGACATCCTAACTCCATATTCGATGATATCACTCAGTGCATAATCATTTCTTTATAAAAAATTGCATTAATTATTAAATACGTAATTGAACTAGTAAGGATTATCTCAACTTAATTTTTTATTTTTTGAGTTTGAGTTTGAGTTTGAGTTTCAGTAGATTATTAAATACTCAGAAAGAATTTTATCATCCACGATTACCCTACCCAACTCGAATAATATCTTCTATAATAATAATAAAAAAAATCTGGTCTACGATTAAAAAGAAAAGATTGCACTAAAGCTCAGCCTCAGAATGGATGTCAAGGTCATTTAGACTTTGGAGTGTAATTTCTGTTCCAGGATAGTCTTGAAAGTGCATAGTAGGAGTAGCAGGCATGTGGATTTGCAACTAATCACCAATGCAACTCGTAACTACCTTCGTCGTATTGACTATTGAAAGGGCAATCGGGCATCGTGTATTTTGTTTATATTTGTGAAATTACTCAGGACTAAGCTAAACTTGTGGTAGGAAAATATTTGAAGCGAAAATTTGTGTACCAAAATGAACCCCCAGAATTGTCTACAAACCTATACTGCATTGCCACTCTGTCATCGGTATTGTTTTGAATACCAATAGCATTTACTGTACAATGAATACTCGATCAGATCATGTTACTGCTGCTTGTTCTAAATGGCAAGGAAAAGAATCACGTTATTAAGATGAAAGCAATATCACGTTATTAAAGAATGACTTTTTTGGTTTGTATCTTTCCCTCAACTATATCCTTGAAAGAAAGAGATAGTCCAAATCCAACACGTTCCTGCATTTAGGGTCACAAATTGTGATACAAAAGGACAGGCAGTGGTGTCGACCAAAAACAAGAATTGGCAGTGGTACAATTTTCACCAATATCTTAACTTACTATTGCCTACAGAACCAATAAATTGGACCATGGACAATCCATACAACCTATTAGAAGTGTCCTTATTCCTCAATCCCTCAGTGCGGTGAGTGAAATTGTAATCCAAAAGCGCAAAAAAAGGACCCAAAAACGGGGGCAAAAGAAAGATATGCTGCCATTAGCAGTAAAAAAAAAAAGAATCATCCACTCTCGTAGATAAGACAGTTTTCTATTGACCAAAAATTTTGTTTTCCACTTCTACATCCTGTAGATGAATTAAAAAAAGAATAAACTAAAGGAAACAAGATTAAAAAAGGGAAGAGAAAAAAGACCTTTAAGTTTCGATCTCTCACACTTTGCCACAAGATAAAAAATGATCATGTTATGACGGCAATAGTTTTGACTTATCTGTTATAATCAAACCAATATATAGAAAGACAAGTGATTCTGTCCTGGGATTTAGAGGCACAATCAACTAAACAACTAAAACGTAGGCCAAATATTGTTTCTTCCCATTTTGACTTGTTAAATGGGCCTCTGAACCTAGTTGAACAACCTCCCCAGGCCCCAGTAACCCAGTTGAGCTCGACCCTAATGACTCCCATTTTGTTTGTCTTCAACAATTCTTAAATTAACCCCCGTGAACAAAATACCTGGACATAAACTAGAATGAGTAAAATCGTAGGCTTCCCAGTTCCCACTCATTTTCCGGAAATTAATAGATTTGTTCTATTTATCTTTAGCCCACTAAAAATTGTAGTTGTACACCTTGTCTCCAAGTAAACATTGAATGGGAGATTATTCCCGTACATCTGAGTCCACAGTTCCATTTATTCCCAGGGAATGAGTCCACATTCCGGGGCATCCTCCAAACAAATATCTGAAACATTCATGCCACACGTGGTGCAATATTTAAAAATTGATGTAAGAGGATGCTGAATACTAGTAAAATTTCAACTATATTAAAGGCGGATCAATCAACAAAATACCATTGCATACTGTCTGTATGTCACCTAATCATGAATTTCAACAACGTGAAGTGTTGCACTAGTCAACAACCGGAGACTTCAATCATTTTCTACGGTTGCCTTCAAAAAAGCTAGATTATCCCAGTCAATTGTTATCTACTTCCATTAACAACGGGGAGAACAGAATTAAAAGTAGTCAGATTATCACAAATTGTAAGTATTCAAGTTTTGATACCTACAAATCAAATACCCCAAAGCTTATAAAGATTTCTAATAAACCCTGTTTTACTAAACCTTGTTTCAATAAACCTTTCTGCATCATTTTGGTATTTATCTCTAATGTATTCCTGAAGACACTTCTTATAGGAGAAGTCAATCCAGCTACCATCAGTTCTTACAACAAAATAGCACCTTGAGTATCGATAGGGATGTTGATCAACCTACAAGAAAACAGTGTCACACAGGCTGCACTTATTGCCAACTTTGGGAAATAACTGGATTGGTTCAAATAAACAACAGTAGCTGAAGTTTAACAGTCTTGGTGCTAAAGGTCAATAAATGTAAATCTATGTTTAGTAGAAAATGCAATTGAAAAACAAAGAAGCTGACAATTAAAATAAAAGTTGAAGGAATTAATGCATGAAAATCCGATTGGATTATCAACCTTACCTATCAAAAATCAATGAAAAAAAGGGAAGCGGGGGGGGGGGGGGGAGAGGAAGGATGTTTTGCATCACTGGATATCAAACCAATAATATTCAGATCAAAAAACGAAGGATAAATTGACATCTAATGCTAAAGGGCCTACATTCCTTGATAGTTGGGACTTGGGAGACAAACTTCTGACCATCCATCTAGCACAGATGTTATATTATCAATAAATTATATTGGCAAGATAACAAAGGTGTAGGAGACTTAAAAGTGTATATATTTTAAGTCAGTCATAAGCTTCTCAACACAAATACTTCTGCAAATCTAATGTAATCAGCAGCACAAAATACATGTACATTTTGTCTGATTGTAGTGATAACCTAGATAGTATTATAGTAATAGAAGATAGGTGCTCCTTTAAAATGCATTATATGAAAGTAGACCATACAACTCTTACCATTTCAGAATCCATGAGAAAGAAATCATGCAAAATGAGCAATAATCAATTTCTAACTCTTAGCATTTCAGCTAATATATATATATATATATATATATATATATATATATATATATTTCAATGGATGTATGTAATTAAGTTATTTTCAGTTTCACAATCACTGTATGAAACCCTTACTCCACAAGTCACTGAACATTCTATCAATGGTAGTAAAAATGTGTTTGTACTTCATTTCCATCAAAAGCTTTTTGAATAGCTTCCTTGGCCACATCCATTGCTTCATATATGTAACCTATTGCAGGTTTTATTCAATATCAACAAGCCTAAGAACATGCATAAGGGCTCCATGGCCTTAAAGAGAGAAAATGACATCATTATAAAAGGTAGGCATAAGTACACTGTCAGTTTTCCTTTTTCCTTTGGGCTAATTAGCTATATACTTGCAAAGTTGTACATTATATATTAGAAGGTTGTGTCTCGCTTTGTAGATATACTTGTGGCATAATAGGCATAGCTATGGAGGCCTTAAAAGTTATGTGATAATTATTTGAAGCCATAATAAGATGGTTGCCGATTATGTCTCACTTTGTACATACATGTATGGCACAGTAATGATATGGTGGCCTTGAATGTTATGTGATATTGAAATAGAAGATTTGTAAGAGAGTAAATAGCGGAAAAAATGTAGTTAGATAATTGGAGTTAAAATATTTATATTTCAAAACAAAAAGACATTATTATCCATTATGCAAAGGAAAAAGGTATGCCTCTCAGTCTAAAATAAAATGTGAAGAAGCTAATCTAACGTGAATGTGTGGAGGTAAGCAATACCCATAACAGCCATAAATCAGATAACAGTTTTCATTTTAAGGATATGAAAACTATAAATCTGCACCATACAACCATATTCATGATTAAAAGCTAGTTAGTGGTTAAAATCAACGTGTACATCTGCAGAAAATGAAGTGGATATTATCCAAATCTAAGATGATATGTGTAGAAATGTCTGTAGGTAGCATCATTCTTTACCTCTTCCATAGTTCCATTAATTGTCAGGGAATGAATCCACACAGTTCAACATTTAGTGCAAAACATGGTGCAGTATTTAAAAAATGATGCAAGAGGAGGCTGAATACTAGTAAATTTTCAACTATGACAAAGGCAGGTCAGTCTACAAATACCATTCCTCATTGTCTGTAATTAAACCTAATCATGAAGTTCTACAGCCCATAGTATTAAAAAGTCAACAAACTGAAGTTAACTTCAATGATTTTCTAAGTTGCCTTCACAAATAAGCTAGATATCCCAAGCAATTGTTATCTACTACCATTAAAAACATTGGGGGGTGGGGGGTGACGAGGACAAGAAGAGGAAAAAACACAGGATTAAAAGTAGTCACAATAGTTCCAATACATACATCTCAATGATCCAAATGCTCATAAAGATTTTGAATAAACCCTGGTTTCCACAACCTTTCAATAAACTTTTCTGCATCTTTTTGGTACTTATCTCTAATGTATTCCCGAAGGCACATCTTATAGGAGAAGTCAATCCAGCTACCATCAGTTCTTATGACGAAAAGGCACCTTGAGTTTTGATATAGGGGATGATGATCAACCTACAAGAAAATAAAGTTACACCGGCTGCACTTACTGCCAACTTTGGGGAAAAACAAGATTGGTTCACGTAAATGATACTTTAATAGTCTTGGTGTCAAATGTAAACCTACATTTAATAGGAAATGCATTTAAGAAACAAAGAAGCTGACAATTAAAGAAAAATGGAAAACGGAAGCTCTTTATAGGCCATCATAGTCTAGGAAAAAGGGGGTTATAGGTTAAGAAGACAGTAATGAAGAAATTGAAGAGGAGGAGGATGAATTATCTTCAAATTTAGTAGTGGTGAAGTGAATGAAATTAAAATGATTTGGAAGATCTTGGAGCTAAAGATTCCAATTGAAAAAAGCTTGTATTTGAATTTGAATGTACTTACCTTAAGCCTTATAAGCATAAACTTGTATATGATTATTTGACTGATGTCATTATTTACCAGTGATTTTAACTCAAGACTAAGGCTTTTGTCACTGTTATTTTAACTTAATTCTACAACTTTTGATTACGAATTATTTGGGCTTTGTAATCATTTATATGTGTAGAATAAATTAACAATTTTGGGGTCAACCTCTCCACATTGCTATGCCTCTACAAGCAGTTCCAGTTAGAGTTCACACTATTAAGGGCAATGCAAACAAGTTCAAAACTAACACAAATACAAGGTCAAGCAACCTATACCATACATACCAATTTCATGACATCATCACGATAAAGAATGAGGAACTACATACACATCATAGTAAGCGCATTCATATTATTCACTTCGCTTACCATAATAGATGCCAAACCGCACCCGATCTTATCTTCAAAATGTGGATGGTAAACGAGAAGCTTCTCAAATACAGCTCTTTCATCCTCCATTGTCAAATGTTCCCCAGACAAGTACCTAACACCACATACTCATAATCATGATTTTCTAAACCCTTAATAAATTAATCTCACATCATAATAGCAATGTTAGGCATTTTCCATTTTCATTAGCTTACCCTGGTGAGTGAAGAATCTTCCTAGTTAGCATGAGGATTGGTTGAATGTCCTTCACGATCTCCTCTTCTTGAACCTTCATTTCGGGGTCATCGTCCTCGACATTGAGGTGGGTTCCGCCACTAGCTTTCTTGCTTGCTTCTTCCGATGATGGCGTGACACTGCACCATAACCGGTGCCCCTGAGGCGGCGAAACGGTGAAGCGTTGGAAGCTGTGTATCCGAAAGCGATTAAGCAGAAAATGCCTAGCTGCCATTGCTGCTCGTGTGCTGAACTGTGTCGAGGGTAAATTCTATAGTAGTGCTTCTCGGGTCCCTAACTTTGAATTGGAGGCTCATTTAACAGTTCAAGCCCAATAGCATGCGTATAAGAAGCCCAACAAGATGACTAAAAGAAGAAACAAATGTTATCGATAATACCAAGACAAGTTCTTCAACGTTATGTTACTAGGAATACGTTATCAACGGAACATGTAAAAAATTATGTGAAGGTAGATTTAAATTAGAAGTTATAATTAGTAATGTTGATTCATAATTATTTAAATGTGAATTTAAATACACACTAATATATTAAACTGGTTCTTCAAAATATGAGTATCAATAAATTTAGTCTTTAAGATTATTAAGACATTATGTTTACCTTTGAAATTTCTAAACAATCGTTTTAATTTTTATTTTTTAATTTTAAAAATAAAAATGATTACGCCGTAGTATCGTTACGGAATAAAGTAATTAACCATAGTTTACTTATTTTAATGACTACAATAATAGTTTTTTTTTATGTAATTTCAGGCATTAAACTAATTGGTGTTCGTAATTTTAAGTTCGAATTTGATGTATTACTCAAAACAGTTATGCTGAATGTATTTTTTAAAATCAATGTAGTCTAATTAAAAAAATGATCTTAATCTAATATGTAGTCACGAAACAATTACTTACAATGGAGAGAAAATTTAACTGTTAAATTAAGTATGGATATTTATTCACAAAAGTTTATATAAATGTACATATAGGTACTGATATTACTTATCCTATCCATATTTACATATTATTAAATATATTAAACATCCTTAGGTAAGATAAAAATAAGTTGACTTAATTCGAGCTTTTATAAGACCTGTACATGAATTTAAAGTTTGAAATAGACTTATTTATACTTATATGAAATCTTTATAAAAGCATGATTTAACCTTTTTAAAAGTCTAATCTAATTTAAAAATTTATTTACAATAAGAGCTTTTAAATAGATTTACAAATCCATATTTAAATGCTTAAAAATATAACTTTAAATAAATTAATAAATTTCAATGTAAATATATAAGTTGATAATTTAAACTTTTAAATAAACTAAAGTGAAATAAGTATATATTTTTTATTTGACGACACACTCCAAACTTACGTCAAAAGTTACACTTAATCTAAATTGAGATTTTTTTTTCTAAAATATGATAGAAATAAAAAAATTACTAAAATAAGATATTTAGGAAATATTTTTTTTTTGTCTGAAATAATTTTTGTCACGTTATTATAAGTGTCGATTCTTTTAGAGTCGACACTTATTTTTTTAATAACAAAAAATTATGTTGGCCTTTATATAACCAATCGATAATGGCATTTGTTAGAGAGACTACAACACTACATGTCTATTCCTCAGCATTGAGCATTATCTAAAAGATTAGTTATAGGAGTAAATTTGTAAAGAGAATGAGATTAAATGTCACTTAATTTGTTGTTTTCTGTTGCTGTACTCTTTTAATGTGGTATGGAGGCTATTTGATTAGGCACCAGTACACCAATTGAGGATCATTGCCACCATGTAAGTGTTGCATTTGTTGGTACTAGAGGCCTATTCCTTAGCATTGAGGATTTTTCAAAAGATTGGTTACAAGAGTGGATTTGCAAAGGGAATAAGATTGTGTGTCACTTACTTTGTTGTTTTCTTTTGCTATGCTCTTTTGTTTTGGTATGGAGACTATTTGATTCGACACCAATAAAGGACTTTTTATTACCACCATGTAAGTGTTAGAATTACCCATTTACAATAACATAGTAAAAATTACTCCAGAAAGAGAAAATGTTTCTTAAATATCTTATTTTGGTAATTTTTTTATTTCTACCCTATTTTATAAAAAAAATTTAAATTGAGCCTTTGATTATTAACTTGATTGGTAAATTTTAATATAATACATTATTTGATTACATTTAATATTAACTAACCAAATAATATAGTTAAAAATTATAAGTTTATGGTAAAAATTTTAATTAAATATTACATATTAAGCTAAAGAATGGCATAATTAAATATAACATATTTAATTTATTAGATAACAATAAAATATAGGATTGTTCATGAGTTGGGCTGAGTTAATTTTAACTTTTTTTTCTTAACTAACTCAATTACAGAATGGGCTGAGTAGTTTTGTTGGTACGTGTATGATTAATGGCTTAATTTTAACATTTTAAATAATAAATTTATTTAAATAAAATAAAAATTATTTATTTTAAAACATAGTATAGTACTAATAATTTAATATTCATCTGAAATGAAGAGTTAAAATTATACTTAAAATATTCAAATCAATTGTTAATCTTTAATTCTTCACTTTAAACGAATTGAAAGACTTAAAAGTTAAAAAGTTTGAAAATATGTATTATATAAAAACAAATGAAATTAAATAAAAAAATTAAGAATATAACATTTTTTATAACCACTAAAATTATTTAATTAATAAATTATATTATTATCTTATTGAAAATACTAAAAATTAAGATCAATGTCAATATTTTAAAAACCTAAAACATCATACATATCTAACAATATAAAATCAAAATATAAAATTAAAACCTTGTCATAACACAAGGTCACACTTAAACGTAGAGTTGTGTCGCTGTGAAGTTTAGAATTGGAGAAGGCAACAAATGATAGCTACGGTGCCACAATAAAGCATAGAAAATAAAAAGTTAAATACAGAGATGAGAAAAAAAAGTAAAGAACTAAAATTAGGAATTAGAGTTCCAATTTACTCACTATGACAAGAATTAGGATTTTGGTTCACTTTGAAAGATTAAAATTAATTGAGTCATTAATATCATTAAAGCAAGGACTTTACTTATTTTATGGATGAGTCGCTTGATTATTCATAATTATATGTTTGCAAAAATGTTTAGGGATATATATATATATATATATATATATATATATATATATATATATATATATCATGCCAATAAAGAGATTCCATATTTGTAGAAGTAAGTACAAGAAAAAATGGTGAAGGAAATTTGAATCTTGTAATTTGAAGAATTAACTCAATACTTCTATTATAGTTTTAAGAGCACTTGCTTATGTGACTTGAGAGTTGAGAGATCCTTAATCTCTCTATCTAGGATAAAGAATATCGAGAGTTTTGGGTGAGAAATGTGCTGGTTTTTATTTTTTACTAGCAGCCATTGAAGTGCAAAAGTTTTGAAAAAAAAAAAGACAATAACTTTGCTTGTGATTTGTTTCTCATAACAAACCCAGAAAGTAATTTATCCTTCCTTTTTCCTTTTTTTTCATTTTCAAGTTTTTAGATAATTTTTTTTAATATTATTAAAGTAGGTCAAAATTAGTTGTTGGATGGTTGTAAATGCAAGTTCATATTACAGTTATGTGAAAATTATTTATAAGCTTTTGTGAGATTTAAGTTATCAAAACAGACAATTTAAATTAATAAGTTAGAGAATATTCATTCGAAAACGATTATCAAGATACACTAATTTAAGAACACACGAGTCAAAAAACATACTAAATAAAGAATAAATAGTCAAAAAATGAATATTAAGCAAATTATATCTTAAAGTAACGTTAAGGTTAAAAAAAAGTTAGATTCCAGAATAATTAAGACTAGAAAAACATTCTTATTTATCTTTTATTTATCACCGACATGTTTCTCAAACTAAAATATTTAGAAAATGATATTCTTATACTAGTGTAAGTTTAAAAAAATTTATACTTAATCTTAACTTTTTATTTAACTTAAATCTAATAGTCAATAAAATAATAAATTATAACCTGATAGATTTAAGTTAAATAAAAGATTCAAACTGAGTGTAATAATTTTTAGACTTATACTGATATAAGAAGATTTTGCTCCAAAATATTTATATATTTTTATTTAAATTTATTTAAGTTTTATGACATGACTAAGTTTTTATTAAATCATCATTATATTTAATTATTTTAGATCTCTTATCAAATATTAGTTTTATTGTTAAGCTTGCATCATAAATACAAAGAGTATGTAAAGTTTTTTTTTTAATAAAAAAAAAAAAAGACGACCAACGTTAATGGAGATTGAAGTAGGATTACATGTCACCTATCTATATAAGCAGCCTTAGAATCAACTTCAACTATTGACTTTGCATGAGTGGAAAATCGACCAGATGAATCAACATTAGCATGAAAGCTACATGTTAATACATATGTTTATATTAATATTTAACTTGATCAAATTGATTATTTTTTTTACAAAGTATAATTTGATATTAATAATATTATAATTTATGATTTGAAAATAAACTTCAAAAACTTATATAATTGACCAAACTAATTAAAATATTGAATTGGTTAGGCGGGCATTCAAATCGTGTTTAGCTGTGTATTTGTGTTTTTCCAATTATTGCTTAAATAAGACGATAATAGAGATAAAATATAAGCAATAATTGGAAAAACACATTGGAAGTTAGAGATTAGAGATGTCAAACATATCAAATTCATGATTTGGCATGCTTATTAATCTATTATTGGAAAAATTTGTTCAAACGGAAGCAGATGAAAAGTCGTTAATATTGAATAATCCACACACGGAAAAAAAAATTTAATCACACTTGATTAGATTCAATTCATAAAATTAACAAATTTCATACTAAAAGAAATGATAGATTTCAATAATTGTTGATATTGAATTGGTATTAACTAAAATTCATAAAATTATCTGAAAAAAATAAAAAAAAAATGACAATTGATTAAATTTCATTCATAAAATTATCAAAATTTATTTAAAAATAAAAAAATTAAAATTAATATAATAAAAAATAAGATACATATGAAAAGATAATTTTAAAAATTTAACTAAATTATAGTCTCAATATATAATTTATTACCTCCACTACAAATTAAAATGCTTAATTATATATTATATATAAATTTAAAAATAAATAATATTTTTATTTTATTTTTATTTGTTGAGTTATGTAAAGTTACTAATTGTTATGATTTTAAATGTACATTTATAATT